TGCCCCTTGTCCTGTTGCTGGGCACCACTGAAAAGAGCTTGGCCCCATCCTCCTGACACCCACCCTTCAGATATTTGTAGGCATTTATAAGGTCCCCTCGCAGCCTTCTCTTCTTCAGGCTGAACAAGCCCAGTTCCCTCAACCTCTCCTCGTAGTGGAGATGCTCCAGTCCCCTCACCATCCTTGTAGCCCTCCGCTGGACTCTCTCCAGTAGCTCTTCATCTTTCTTGAACTGGGGAGCCCAGAACTGGACACAGTACTCCAGATGAGGCCTCACCAGGGTAGTGTAGAGGGGAAGGAGAACCTCCCTCGTCCTGCTGGCCACACTCTTCTTGATGCACCCCAGGATCCCATTGGCTTTCTTGGCAGCCAGGGCACACTGCTGGCTCATGGTTAACCTGTCGTCCACCAGGACACCCAGGTCCCTCTCCGCAGAGCTGCTCTCCAGCAGGTCCACCCCAAGCCTGTACTGGTGCATGAGGTTGTTCCTCCCCAGGTGCAGGACCCTGCACTTGCCCTTGTTGAACCTCATCAGGTTCCTCTCTGCCCAGCTTTCCAGCCTATCCAGGTCACGCTGAATGGCAGCACAGCCTTCTGGTGTATCTACCACACCTCCCTTGTACTATCGCAACAGGCTGTGCCAAATAGTTTGTCCCCATACTTCTTATAAGCCCCCTTTAAGTACTGGAAGGCTGCTATAAGGTGTTCCCGCAGCCTTCTCTTCTCCAGGCTGAACAGCCCCAAGTCCCTCAGCCTTTCCTCACAGGCCCTCCGTTCATTTTTGTGGCCTCCTTTTACTCCGCTCCAACAGGTCCATGCCTGTCCTGTGCTGAGGGCTCCAGAGCTGGATGCAGGACTCCAGGTTAGGTCTCACCAGAGTGGAGTAGAGGGGTAGAATCATCTCCCTCGACCTGCTGGCCACCCCTCTCTCAGTGCACCCCAAGATATGGTTGGCCTTCTGGGCTGCAAATGCACATTGTTGTCTCACATCCAACTTTTCATCCACCAGTATGCCCAAATCCTTCTCGGCAGGGCTGCTATCACCCCCTTCATCCCCCAGCCAGTATTAATACCGGGGTTGCAGGTGCAGGACCTTGCACTTGGCCCTGTTGAACCTCGTGAAGTTCACATGGGCCCACTTCTCAAGCTTGTCCAGGTCCCTCTGGATGGCATCCTGTCCCTCAGGTGCATCAACTGCACCACTTGGCTTGCTGTCATCTGCAAATTTGCTGAGGGTGCACTCAATCCTACTGTCTACATTGTTGGTAAAGATATTAAACAGAACTAGTTCCCATATGGACCCCCGAGGGACACCACTCGTCACTGATCTCCATCTGGATATTGAGCCGTTGACCTCCACTCTCCGAATGCAATCATCCAGCCAAATGCAGCTCACAGACACCCTCCTGGAGGAACAATCAGTAGGGTCTGCTCTTTAATGCCACAGTGCTGCTGTTTGTATAGAACAGGCATTGCCTGGTTTAGGTCTCTGTTTAGGTCAGTAGGATTTAGGAAAGCAGACAGACAAAGTATTTAAGCAATTTTTTACTGCTCATCTTGTCATTCATTATCAGGTCAGTGAAGAAGAAAAAATGGAAGCACTGCTTTCAAAGGTTTGCTTTACATGGCTGCAAGTAAAAAAAGGAATAAATATCTCAGCATACCTTCTCCTTGTTGCCTCAGTGATATAGAATATTCCAGCTGCAAGACCCTTTGAGGAAACAGTCAGTTACAATTGTAATAATAATAATGTTATGCAATAGCTCATAATTGCAATGGATACAAAAAGCAAAAAACTTGTAATTACTTACACTTAACAGTGCCCATCCTCCTAGGATGGCTGAAGCCCATTCAAAACCCAGTTTTTCATTTAGAAACCCTCCCAGAGTAGGACCTGCAAATGCCCTGCAACAAAATAAAATGAGGCACTGGCATTTAAAACAAAAAACATATCAAATTCTCAGAGAACTTTTTTATTGTGTTTTGCAGCCTCCTTCCATTCTTTCTCCTTTGTCAACAAAGAGATCATCTAGCACAGACCTAACTTCCCTATAATCCACAATAAGTATTAATTCCTTGTTTGCCATGGCCCCAATAAACCTGTCTAGTTACCTTCTCATCTGGAAATAGCACCTACATCGGAAAGCTGAATGCACTCTTTTCTGTATCTGGAATGCCTTAGAGGCCCCATTAAGGACTAACAGGGCATCTACACCAATCAATTCTATCATAAAAGAAATTCCAATTCTCCTCCCTCAAACTGTAAACCTTCCAAACTTCAAGACAAAAGAGTGATGGACATAGGCAGGTAGTGAGGCACGTTGTGACAGACGCGGTCACTGCAAGGTTGAGTTGTATGTAACTGCCCTGCACCTTCAAGCCTGTCTAAAAATGCTGTGAAAGGTTATGCAGCTGCTGTCAATTTATGAAAGGCCTTACATGATATGGTGTCTCACTACAGAAAGGGTCAAAACTATATAAAAATGGAAAAACTTCCTTGAAGCTTGCTTAAAAAACCAGGTTTGATAACAGCATAAAACTGGAGTTTGGTAACTTCGTACTACCTGTATCTGTACTGAACCCCACACCAAATAAATAGGACAGACAGAACTTCAATTAGCTTGGAAAAAACAGTACAAAATTTGTACCACTGAAACCCACCTGCAGCCACAGCGGACTACAAAGACAGATAAAATAATCCTGGAAGTGGCTGTCAACAGGGGGGCTCTGTCACTTCCCACTGAATGACAACTCCGAAGGGTTACTTGGCCAGTAGCACCTTTCACTCATTTCTGTGACAACCACCAGGTAATAAACACAGACACACTCTGCTAAGCTATGCAAACACAGACCTTAAATAATGGCTGTGACTGAAAGAGAAGAGAAAATTCTACCCTAAACTGTCACAGATAAAAGGAGGAAATTGGAAAATTAAAAAGGGAGAACAGTATTAGTGAAGAGCAGATACCTTCCAGCTTACTCCATGTGGGTGGACTTGGCTTTGTAAAAAAATTAGGGTCCACCTCTCTCTGTATTAAGTATTAAATATTTCAGTGACAACAAAAATGACCACACAAAGCGCAAGTTAACATCCACCCTATCACTGCAGCTCTTTGATATGCAGGGCAACACTTCCAATTTCAAGGAAGACAAGTTCAGAGTCCATTCACTTTGTTGGGTAAAAAGCTTTGTTTTAACATGTCCACCAGGCACCTGTTTAGCAAGAATCGTCTGAGTCAAGGTCAACACAATGACTGCAACGCAAGACTTCTGGTTGTAACGCAGCACGCTTTCGTGTGGCAATAGCGTAGAACAACCGAATGCTCACAGCTTACAATAACGTGACGGTATACCTACCCAAGGGACCACATGGCATTGAAGAGCCCAGACACCAGTCCCAGCAGACCCAGACCTTCCTCAAATCCACTCTCACTGCAGAAAGACAGACCAGTTAGAGCAGTACAACACATTATTGTGTCTCAGTCTATAGCCTTCCCCTATAGAGAGGCTTTTTCCCTCCTTTTAATTTACACACAACATAAATAGTTCACAAGCAGAAGCATACAGTGGAATAATTTCTGTTTACCTGGTACTTTCTTCTTGGCTGCCTCTCTGGAGGATTGCAGGGCTACTCCTCATCTCTAATGTCTTCCGAGTGAGATTCCTAACATCAAACCATCGCTCATTCCCCATGTTTCATACGGCAAGTGTAAAACAGTGACAGGTGGCTTTTAAGCAGGAAAGACCTTGTTCCAAGAGGAACATATCAGTAAGAGTAAATCAAGACCCTTCTAGGTCATCACTGTCAAGCCACATCACAGATGTTGTACTTTGAGCACGTATGATCCCTATAAGTGCAGCTGTTAAAGTCGATGCAGTCTGAAAATCCATGGAAAACTGCTACGAGACCCAAAGTCTGATGGACTTAGATGTGTTCACAGTATTGAGGCACACATTTTCAAAATCACATTTGGAGTATAATGACTAGGGTGCTCAGTCAGAAAAAACTGAGATGGAAGAGTAGTGGAAGCATTTAAGTGTTACTCACTGCCTTTGTCTCAAAAAGGGGGAAAAAAGCCACACTAAAACCCCACTTCACATTCACCCCTGAAAATTAGTTGCAGTTTCCTACTGTTAGTAACATGAAAGATGCTGGACCAAATTACTTACTATGCACAGTGCAGTACCTCTGGAAACACTGGGATAGCACTCATGCCAATGGAAAAGCCAACCAAAACCAGCACTAACACAAACATCCACAGCTGACTGAAAAAGAGGCATTTAAAAGAAGTTAGCTGCTGAAGACTCTTTTGAAGTAAGGACCCCATATGACTGAAGGCTGTTGTATCAGCTCTCCATGCCTGACCAGAAAACTAGGTTTCTTGAAGCCAGAAAGAACTCCACTTTAAGTGAACACGAGGACTTGAAAAATACAGTTCTATGCTTAAAAACAACTTTGTAAAAGAATTTGAAAATTCTGTGCTCGAATTAAATATTTCTTTATCAAATGCAGTTCATTTTAAGAGAAGCAGATAGAAAAGAGCTACACAGACAAGCTTAACTCAGCAATACGTATGTCCAAGCTCCAGAGTTGTTTTGTTGCACAAGTGAAGGATTTTGCAGCTAAAATTTTGTAGCCCAATACATTATAACCAAATAGAGTTAGCTAAAGAAAAGAATGTTGAAAATTATACTGATTCCTTTCTCGCACCTCAAACGTGTGGTCTTACCAGTTTCAAACGTACAATCTTCTTTAAAAATTAGACATCTAGGATGAAGGAGTTGACTAATTCTGCACATTGGCAAGCCTATCATCATCTGTAACAGAGTACATAATCTAGGACAAGAGGAGTGTACAGCTGTTTTGTGAACGCAGCAGAGTTCTGCTGTGAATTAACTTGACAGACACGGCAATGCAGTGTTCTGGTGCAACAGACATTGTCTTTACTTAGGTAGCTGAAAACAAAGCTGTAATCTGGCATTTTCCTCAGTAAGCTATATACAGAGGAAGAAAAATCAATATTGCTGCACAGCCATGTAAATAAAACCCATATTTAAGAAATACCAGTGAAATAGAGAAAATTGAAAAATAAGAGAACTTTTTTTTGCTGCACTGGAAATCCCACAGGACTGGGAGGAAAGGAAACGAAAAAGCAGCATTCTTCCCACCACACAAACATTAGCAAACACAGTAACAGTAAAAAGCAAAAGAAAAGGATCTATTCTACAAAGCTGTAATATCTCCATTTTCAGATGCTTCCACTGCTTTACATTCATAGGCTCACATTAGAAGTTAGAAAAAAACCTGTTTCATGGTCAGAGGTGCTAATTTTAGACTTGTGGACACATGACTATGGTCATGACTGCTATCACAAAACTATCACATAAGGGGACAGGTTCAAGAAGAGGCAGTTCTATACCCGTCAATGTGCAGTACAGGAGCAGGTCCTAACATGAAAAAGCACACTGCTGTCATCAAGCCTCCAGATACCAGCAGCCACTTCCTGAGGTACTGTGAAAGAAATGGAAGCTGTATGTAATTTACAGCTGTGAACTATTTCGTCTTTCTTAATACCCCTCTTCTAAATCTTCATCTCCTGAAATGTATGGCTCCTGTAGAGACCATCATTACACACAGACTGGGAATTCACAATTTCTCTGCCAGTTCTGAACACTAGGAAGAAACACTGAATTTGTGTTTCCTCACCACCAATGCAATCACTGGCAGCAGCTGCTTAATACACAGATTTCTTCAGGATGCCAAGTCGTGGCGCTTCTCTGCTAACAAAGTATTTTAGGTCTTACTCTTCCTTACCATAAGAAATATCACGTAGCATTGCATGTAATTCTCATGTACAAAGGCCATTATTAGTTTGTGTCAGGAAAGAAGCAGTGTCAGAAAACTGCCACTGTCCTTCACGCACAGCATTCAAAGTGTAGGCTTCCTTGGTCAATCAGCAGTGGCTGTCAACCAGGCAGTTTTAGGTGTATCACTGTCAAAGTCTCTTTCTATGGTGCAGTTCAGAGCTAGAGAACCATAGTCAGTCAGTGTGCTGATCGAATTTGGATATTACACTTTTTAAGAAACAAAGTCAATAGAGCGAACCAGAACCTCTTTACTCCTTTTTCTCAAAAGCTGCTTAAACTAGTTGTGGACATAACTGGGACATGTTTTCCTACTCTCCATTCCATATTGGCTGGAACTAGATTGTGCTTAGTCCACTGGAAAAGCTCAAATTGTTTCAACTACAGGATACTTGCCCAAAATAGTAAAGCATGTCAGACATTACCTGGACCTTGCAAAAGAGACCTTCAATTTGGCAGTGACACCTTGCACTTGCAAGGTCCTGGGAGACAGATCCTTTTAGAGGACCAGGCCTACATCCATCACTTCAATATAAGAAGTCATCCAGTCTCAACTAAGTGCACAGAGTGCTTTACCAACCCTGCACAAACAGCAAGATAGTACTCACTGGCAGTTTGTCACTTAGGAGTCCAAGAAGGGGAGAAGACAGGGAATACGAGAGAGCCAAACTGAGGAATACCAAGCCCACGTAACCAGCTGGGAGTTTGAACTATGGGAAGGAAGACAAATAAAACAAAAAAACCCCCAATACAACAAACCACATATGCTACATTCATTAAAGGACAATCCAAGAAACACATTTCAGGTCAAAACACTGAAACGCATGATTTTAAGTATTTTACTGACACTATGCAGAGGTTTTTCAAGTATTCGAAGTCATCAGCAGAGCTCCAGTTTCCTTCACTTATATTTCTAGGCATGTAGTGACAACACCTGACACAACTGTAATCAGACAAAGCCTAAATAATTTCAGAAGGAACACTATGCTAAGTCCGTATACCAGCACACTGAATTCTAACATTAATATCTGGCACATTTGAAACAGACACTTCAGACACTGAAAATTAGGTGGATTCAGTCTTTACCTCTCCAATCCAGTTTTATTTTCACTTAGAAAAGCATAAATACTGCAGTCCTCCACTGCAGTCCTCCACTGCTAATCAGTGCATCTCAAAAGTAAGCAGCGCTATAAAACACAGCTCCGGCTTTTCAACCAAAGGAGGACTTTCATAAGAATGAGTAAGAGGCTTTTTGCTAACACCCTGAGGTCTACATTTTCCTAATGCAGAGTCACATTTCTGTATTGAAATAAAACGTGTAATGAACCAAAAGTGTACTAGTGTCTCAAATGAGTGCTTTAATGACCAGTTAGAAGGAATTCCAAGATGTTTCATGAGGCATGGGCTACATAAACATTCACTCTTTTTTGCCATATTGCAAGCACACCATAATAACTCTAATTTAGTGGTTAGAACACCTTGCCAAGTAGGCTACAGCCCTTTCACAGCAAGTAGCTGTTAGCACACAGCAGAGGCAAAGCAGAAGAGCCACACCAGCGTGCAGTACTCTACAGTGGGATAATCACAGATCCCTCCAGGGTGGTGGAAGACATACATTCACATCTTCACTAATGGAAGATGTTAGCACCAAGTCTCCTCCACCCTGGATGAGTGCTCTAAATGCTGGACTAGACAGAAGAAAAGTAGAAGCACTACAACCTGTGAAATGCTATTCCTTGGAAAACAATTAATAAATAAATCACTCAAAAAGCACTGTTTAATTTCACACAGGAACAGAATCATAAACTACTTACTTCAAATTCATTACCATAAACACCATGGGGAAAATAAATAAATAAATACAATTAAGTAGGAAACAAATATTAAAATAATAAAAATAAATAAGTAAAAAGCATTTGCCTTTTTAACAAGTAAGTGAAGAAGTCAGCTGGCAGGCTACATAGTTGAAATCAGTTTAATTTTGGCATTGTTGTAAAAGAACACAGGGCTGTGACATCATGTCCCCAAAACCAAATATCCACATCAAGAGGTATAATGCTGTGACAGCTGCAATTTTACAGAATTTGCTTTCAGAAAGGAGGAAGAAGTCCCTAGTTCACAAAACCAGCTGCTATGCCCTGTTCAGAGAAGGTACACTGCAGCTGAAAGCAAATTCAGTGGAAAAAGCATGTGTTTTAAAGGCCCTACATTTCCTCATTCTCAAAGCTATCGAGACCCAGCAGCAACAGATGGTGTAAACTGTGGAAATCGAATTATTAAGAGTTAATTAAAGCAGTGTAGTTGCATAAGGCTCAATTTTGTTTGGGATATTTAAACCACATTTATAACCAGTTACTTACTATTTAGCAAGTCCAGACTTCCCTGCACGTTAGCAGGACTTACCTTCTTTAGGATAAATAGAGACATTGTGGGATCCAAAAAGCCCAAGCACGCACTTAGAGAAAATATAGTAAGACAGAGAAGTAAGACTTTCGGCAGAAGAATGAGCTTCCAAAAGGAGTCCTTGCTAGGGAGCGAATCTGTTTCAAGAGAAAAGGGGGGGAAAATTGCATTATTTTCAGCAGCATAAGCTCATGATTGATCTTCTTCAGAAAAGAAATTACTATTTCCCTTTTTCTAGTCCTAATACTCGTTATCTAACAAATGAAAGTCAATAGTAGACTATTACGCACCATACTACTTTTTGTATTATAAACCCACATTTGACAGGTGAATAAAAGTACACAATTTAGATTCCAACACTGCAAATCTCCAACCTGAGAAGAACAAAAACATGTACTATTCCCAATTATGTGAAAATATAGTTACTTCTCTGCTAGCCCTTATACAACAAAAATCTCATGGATATATCTCAACTTAAAATAAACACATGCACGCGTGCATGGACCATTCATATCCAATCAGAGAAACATGATTTCAAAGCAAAATAAAAAGGTTGCTATTTATCAGTTGAGATCTGTTTTTAAGCAACTAGTCATTTGGGTCTCCTACATGTTCAATTTGTACTCCAGATAGGAAGCTTCTTTCAGTTGTCCCGCTTTGGTGTCATTTCTAAGTCACACTCCCTTCCCGATGCTGATGGTGCTTTAATAGTTGAATGTGGTCTCAAAGTACGCACAGAACTAAAGATCATTCATTAGCATCCACCAGCTCAGAGCTAACATTTAATGTAGTTTCAAATTGGCCAGCAATATCATGATTCCATACAATTTCAGAGCTCGGGGAGGTCGGGGGGAAGCCAACAGTAGCAGCACATGGTTAACCACTGTAAGTTTCTTCTAAAAGCCAATATATATTAAGTCGTTCCCCAATGTCTTCATATTTATAGGAAAAAAAATGAAAAAAAGGCCATTGTATTTTAAAGTTGCTATTTTTTTCTAGAAAAGACTAACAGAACTGTAACCTTGCAATCACAATCTTGTGTGAAGACTTGTCTTTAAGTTAACTTTCTGTCCTAGCAGGAGCATCTAAAATTTAACAAAATTTATATTACCTCCAGCACTTCAGTTAAACCCCTCGTTCATGAATTTTAATATTATTTCATGTTAATCAGCTCTTGAATCATTCAGTACAAATAAACTTATTTTGTTCTCCCTATAATTTGGGTTTTTTTCCTCCACTATTGATCCCTCAAACATGTCAAGCTCTCTTGTTTTAGGCAAAACCTATCTTCAGCTTTTCTTTAGCTAGCTGCCATGACAAGCTGATACCAAGCAGACACAACTGATCCTTTAGAAGCCCTGAAGCTAAAGAGACAAAAGGAAACAAAAATTTATTTCTTTTCACTTCCACATAGAGTTCTGGGTGTTTGCAGAAATGGGCATGAGGTGTTGGATTCAGTCCAGGCCATCTGCACGGATTAATTTTAGATTGTATTAAAACATGGGCCTGATCAAGATCACAAGTTAATTGAGCTGGAGCTTTGCCCACTGAGTTGGATCAGACTACAGAAACTGATATTTTTCTAAAACACAGTTATATATATGAGAAATTAAGGTGAGTGAAGAGGCCAGGAAGAAGGGTGCTTACCGTATTTTGGTAATATGCACATATTCACAGGCACCAAGACCAACACTACGCATCCCAGTGTAATGAAAGGGACCTTGTAACCAAACGATTGGTACAAAAAACCACCTACAGGCGGGCCCAGCACCAGTCCAAGTCCTGTAAAAATTTCAAGGCTGCCCTAAAGGATGAAAAGGAAAGCAAGCAAAAAAAAAAAAAGTCAGTATGCTGAGAAACTCCAGTGCAACAATAAAAGCAATCCATTTTTCTGAGGAGCAGTACAACGTAGTCAGGCTAGTGAAAAGGAAAAGGCACGGCATCACCAAGGGGGATAACGGCTAGTAGCAGCAAGGTGGGCTGAAAACCGGTACCAAAAGGGTAAGGAGAGGAAAAGTGTTTTTTGGTATTTAGCACTATCAACAAGGGTAATGAAAAGCAAGGCTGAAAATCCCTCATCCATTCCTTCAGGCTTTATGATTTTACCACGGGATGCACCTTGCTTCAACTGATCAGCTCTTCCTTCTGCCTCCTGCCTCTGCCACCACCACGAGCAGAGCTTGTAGTAACAAGAACTCTCCATCACGTCCATTTAAGGACAGTAAGTCAACACAAACGAATTTGAAAAGCTTTTATTCTCATGCAGGACAAGATATTAGAGTATATAGCATGGCAAACAGACCAATATTTAAAAGCGATCTGTCTTCTGACAGCACCCTTTCCAGATTTTAAATGAAGGCAGCTACCAAGCCATAGCTGTGTAGCATTTCTGATTGTGGTCTTGAGGTGACCTTCATCACCGCATATCGTTTTCAGCTATGTGTCATGTTTATCATGCTGCCAACACAGAATTTCATTTAAGACTTATTATAAGATAGATAACTAAGTCCCTTTAAGTCAAGGTTACTCTACCTACCTGTTTAAATTACATTTTAAAAATTTACAAACAGGAAACCTTAACCTTATTGACTGAATAAATCCAAAACATGATTACAGTGTATAGCCTGCTTTCCAAAGAAATTGACAGCTCCTCACTGCTCATACAGTATGTAGGTTTTTTTCCTAGTCATTTATTTACAGAAGTATACAGCTTAACTACAATATTAATAAAAGCATCAATTTATCCAATTCTATTAAATGTTCCGAAGGATGTTCTTAACATTTGTTCACTCATTAAAATTTAACCCAGTTATTTCTGTCAGTCTATATTTGACCTGAAACCAGAATTTACTGAAAAAGAAAAACCAGCATTTTAATAACACAAAACTTCTTTTTTCCTAACACCATAAAAACCAACTAAATAAGGGTAATATCTCTGGTTGAAATAAATCATTGATGACCAGAAATAGTGCCCTCCAGACTTCAAGAAGTTCTAGCTCTCCTCTTCTCAAACAACATTTTCATCAATAGATTAGAAAAAATAAACCAAATTGTTTCCAGTTTTGCATCTTTCAGTCATTTCAATCAACACTATTTGAATTAATCAAATTCTTTGCATCAATGCACATGGATTCTTACCATCCATGTAGAGGTCATTAAAAGTTGCAATAGTATTTGAATAGTCTGATTTAACTGAAGAGATAACTACTGCCATCAAAACTCGGCTCTCTTCAAAGCACAAGCAACTAACACATACTGCTTAATTTATATCTAACTGAAGTTATGCTAAGGTGTAAACTTGCTCTAGGATTGTGATTCCAGGTTACAAACAAACACTATGTGAAGATTTCAAACATGCATGCATAGGAGACAGCACATTTTTTCCTCCTGGTTTTAGGCTATCTACTGGTAATTTATCATAATGCAGGCATTTAGCTGTAACACTGGTTTTTGCACTTACCAGGACAGTAGCTATATTATTGGGAAATGCCTTTGCAAGGATTGAAAATGATGCTGTCATCGCTGCTGCAAAACCTGCTGCATCCATTGCTCTTACTAAAAAGCACAAACCAATGAACATTGGTCCACTTGGCACCTTGTCCAGCATTCTGAAAAAAAAAACAAACCCAAATAGTAAATGGAGATCTCTCAGGATGCAACAAGCCATCTACTAAAGGCCCTGGAGCATCACTTCTTACTCATTAAAGCACACAGTTATAAGACACTCAATGCCTTCTATTGCCACATCTTTTTGAATCACACAGGGGAAGTAATTCAAACTCTACCAAACTATTTCTGGCAGCTTTCTCCTCTTCCCCTTTCTTTGGTGGTGAAAAGAACACAAAAAACCTAACTTGTGAAAAACTCCAATGCCATCTTCTGTTGTATTTCACAGCTTTCCCAAGCAACTGTGTAAGGAGTCTGATGAAATGAGTTACAACTACCTAATAAGAGCTTCCTTCATTATTAATAAAACTTTTATTTTGCTAAAAGGAGTGGCTTAGCTTCTCTGCCTGCCAGGCAAAGCTTCTCATTTCTACTCTGTATTTTTAAGAAAATAATAATTAAAACATTAGGCATAAATAGTTCCCTTTTGCTGCACTTTGACAGACTTCTTGCTGTTCATCAGCTGAGGTAGTTATTTAAATATGTAGAACCTTCCTCCTTTGCTTTCAAAGTACTAAACAGGCTCTGAAACTACTAAATGGGAGAAGCGTTCGTTCTGCTTTGCAAGGGATAGATAAAAAGTAAAGATGCAAAAAGTTAGGTGACGTAACCAACACCCGAAAGATGCCCAAGAGTTTCCAGTTCTGTTTTGTGGCCATCTTTCCATATGGGTGAAAATGATTAGAAGACAAATACAACGAAATCAACCAACAAAAATTACTCACCCAAACAGAATGGTCACACATCCCGAAACAAACATCCCTGCCACAAACATGAATTTTGCTCCAATACGTGTAAGCTGTAAATTACATACCATTTTCATGTTATTATTTCAAGCCTAGATCAAAAATCTTTCAAAGTTACTGTTAAGAAATGAAAACATTATGGGCATTTTATAGCATATGTAACTAGAAGATCCAGAGACACTGCTCCTGCTGGTGTGCCTTCATGCAACACTGAACCTAAAAATATTCTAAACGGTTAAGTGACTTAACCCAGTTTTCAGAACGGTAAGACAATGGTGCAGTTAACTATTTCACAGTGCTGCTCTGCAGCTTCTGCAGAGCAGCAGCAGTTCACAGCACTATTCCCCATTATAAACAAACAGGAGACAATACATCCCTCCTCCAGCACTGTCAGTGATGCCAAGTCAGCAATACCTGTTATGTATATGACTCAGAAGAGTCAACAGAAGCTGATTTTAAAGCAAATTTACCACTATCTTCAATAGCGCAAAGCTTTGGCATAGGAAGCACAGTAGCTTCAGGCTTCCCCATTCATTATCAGGAACAGGACTCCACCTTTCCTCAGTTCAGACTCCATCACTAGGGTGAAGGATGACAAGAGGCATGCATGCTGTAAAGCTAACTCAATCCCGGAACAAAGTACATCTCAACTAATGCCATGCTGTCCCCCAAGGACGACAGGTATTCCAGATTCTTTTCTCGCTCAGGCCTGGACAAAGTCTCTGTGTTTCAGCCATTATTACTAAAGCCCACATTTTGCAGAGTTTCACAGAAACCCTCAGGGTTTCTGATTGCTGGGCTGTCCACCTCTATTGGTGGTCACTTTACCTGTCTGCAGCGAGGATGGTGCGCTCGCTCTCTCTCTCCCCTGCAAAGTACTTGGTGAGGGCTGTGCCATAGTTGAATGCCACGGCAGACACCAGGACTGGACTTACCAACGGCACGTGTGTGACACCTGGATGAGCCACCTCACCATCAGGGAAAATCAGTCACCATGAGGTCAGCAAAGAGACTGCCCAGCCAAAGAAAGAGAAGACTGTGAAAGTGCAGCAGCCCCAACTTAGGGTATGATCCTGAGAAGCCCTAGCCAAAAATGCATGGACAGCGGTGCTCCAGCATCTAAACAAACAAACTGTTATATAATATACACGCAGATGACACCAAGTTGGGTGGGAGTGTTGATCTGCTCGAGGGTAGGAACGGTCTGCAGAGGGATCTGGACTGGCTGGATCGATGGGCCAAGGTTCAACAAGGCCAAATCCCGGGTCCTGCACTTGGGTCACAACAACCCCATGCAACACTACAGGCTTGGGGATGAGTGGCTGGAAAGCTGCCCAGCGGAAAAGGACCTTGGGGTGTTGATCGACAGCCGGCTGAACACGAGCCAGCAGTGTGCCCAGGTGGCCAAGAAGGCCAAC